ACACACACACACACATACACACATATATATATATATATATATATATATATATATATATATATATATATATATATATATATATATATATATATATATATATATATATATATATATATATATATATATATATATATATATATATATATATATATATATATATATATATATATATATATATATATATATATATAAATTAATTGCTTGATCTGTTATTTTATTTATTTATTTATTTATTTATTTATTTATTTATTTATTTATTTATTTATCTATCTATTTTTAAGTTATAGTTAGATTTAACCAAAATTTATTCTGACCCAATCAATTATTTCTTCTTTTTAATTATTATTATTAATTAATTAATAAATAAAAAAAATAAGTACATTTTTTTCGTACTGGAATACATAAAATAATTTTAGTAAATAATAATAATACTTTAAAAAATAAATAAATTGATTAATAATATATAGTTAATAATAAATATAAATAACAAAAATCAATCATTTATTTAAAAATAAAATAATAATTATTAATAATAATAAAATTCTAATAGTTATAAATAATAATAAAATTTATAAATAAATAAATACTAAAATTTTTGATAAGAACAACAAAACAATAACAATAATAATAAATAACAACCAAGCAACAACAACAAAAACAACAATAACATTAATTAAATAATAATTAATAATTACAATAATCAAAAATAATAATAATGATAAACAACAACAATAATAATAATTATAATAATGATAAATAATACAAAAAAATAAAATAATTATTAATAAATATAAATAACAATAAATAAAAATTAATAAAAATAATATTGATAAAAACAACAATATTAAGAATCATAATTATTATAAAAATAAAAAAATAAATAATGAATTATTATTAATGAACAAATATCAATACACAAATCATTAAAAATAAATAATAATAATAATAATAATGATAATTATAAATAAAACTTATAATAAATATTAAATTAATAATAACAACAACAATAATATTATTAATAATAATAATAATAATAATTCTAAATAACAATAGCAATATAAAATATTTAATAAAAACAACAACACAACTATAATAATAATAATAATAATAAACAAATAAATAAATTAATTAATTAATTATTGGAATAATCTAATACTTTACAAATACAAAGTGACATTTACTTAAACGTTTAAAATATTTAATTATTCATGAGTAATTTAAAATGCGCATTTAATATTACTGTTGAAATGTGTTTATCCGTATTTATAATGAGTAGGCCACACAGAAACTGCCCGAGCAGAAATCTGCTGATTTTTAGCCCATCACTGAGACCATTTATTCACTTGTGTAAATGTGTGTAAATATATATATATAGTACATTTCAGTAATATTGATGAATGATATGAAGATGTTCATATCATTTATGTACAATGCAGTTTATAAAGTAATGTTTTCTGTTTTTTAGTCATGATATTATATGAGAGACGTGCTTTGTTTACCATATAAGGGGATCTTGCTGGATTTGCATTGTAAATATTAAAACTTGAAAAGTATTATTTTTATTTCATATATTGAGTTTTTAGTTATGATTTTCTCAAAATAATTCAGCAGAAATCCGCAGACTTTGTACAAAATTCTACATAGAAATAACAATAGACGTCCGCAGATTCTGTCTGGCCCCTCTGTCTGATGAGTGACTGTGTGTGTGTGTGTGTGTTCAAACATTGGTGTGTGTGTGTGTGTTCAAACATTGGTGTGTGTGTGTGTGTTTTGTTGACCTCTTCAGGTGAAGGCACACACTGCGCCGGCGCTCGCTCCTGATTGGCTCGTGCGATGGTGAGGTAATACCCTCTGCCGTAGGTTTTCTTGAGGAAGAGGGAAGATCCGCAGCACTGGACGCGGCCGTGAGAAATGATGGCCACTCGATCACCCAGAATATCTGCTTCATCCATGTGGTGTGTGGACAGAATGATGGTGCGACCTGGAGAAACGCGCACACACACACACACACACACACACACACACACACACACACACACACACAAACACACAAACACACACAAATCCACATGAAAACCATCACGTTCACAGAAATCAGAATGTGTGTGTGTGTGTGTACATATGTTCATATCTATGTGTGTGGTTTGTTGTCTTATCTATGTGTGTGTGTGTGTGTTTGTATCTATATGTGTGTGCGCATTTGTATCTATATGTCTGTGTGTATGTGTTGGTATCAACGCGTTCGTATCTATGTATGTGTGTGTGTGGATTTGAATCTATGTGTGTGTGTGTGTGTGTTTGTATCTACAAGTGTATGTGGATGTGTTTTTGTATCTATGTGTGTGTGTGCCTATGTGA